TCATTGTTTTCAGTTGAATTTCTTTTTACTAATTTGGAGCATCTCCCGTTTTGGGCTTTACTTTTGGAGATTTCCTTCCTCTTGGCCATTCCTCTCTATGTGAGTTGCTTGGTTTTTTTTTTTTTTTTTTTCTTTTTTTTTTTTTCCTAACTGATTGCAATTTTTCTTGTGAATTCTGAAAGTTGTCAGTAGAAGAAGGAGCCATCCCCTCGGAACAGCCCCTGAATAATCAGCCTCAAATGAGAGTTGCTCAGAGGAAGCAGTTACTGTCTCGTGGGAAGTGAAGGAGACAGTGGGAAGACAGGGTTCCCTAAAGAAACTACCTCCCTAGGAGCGATTTCCCGGGGCTTCTATAGCAAGGGTAGGGGAGTGTCCAGGGTGCAGAAGAGGAGGAGCAGGAGGAAGGCCCTTCTTGCTCTAGCAACACAGATCTGCTTTTTAAAAAAAGATTCATTTTATTTACAGAGCAAGGAAGAGAGAGAGAGAATCTTTCAGTTGCAGGTTCACTCCCCAAATGGCTGCAACAACCAGGGTGGCACCAATCTGAAGCCAGGAGCCAGGAGCTTCTTCCGGGTCTCCTATGTGGGTGCAGGGGCCCAAGGACTTGGGTCAACATTTTCTGCCTTTCCAGGTGCATTAGCAGGGAGCTGGATTGGAAGTGGAGCAGGAGCTGGATTGAAAGTGGAGCAGCTGGGATACAAATTGGATGCCGGTGTGGCAGGTGGCAGCTTAACCTGCTACACCAAAACACCCGCCCAGCACGTCTTCATTCATCCTATGTTTAAAACCCTGACTCAGACTTGTTTCTTTCAGTTTTCCTGGTGGTCTGGTTCCCTTCAAGTACCATGTGGCGAGATAAGCTTTCCTGGAACTTCTGAAAATTAAGCTGTGACCAGTAAACAGATTCTCTGCCCTCTTGCCTAAATCCCACACTCTTGGTTACAAAGTCCTCCCTCCCTGCGGAAGCTATCAGCAACATGGCAACGCATTTAGAAGCATATTTATCAATGTTGTTGCTTTTGAAATGGTGTGTATATGTTTTGTTTTATTATATGTATTTTCATTTTATTTCAATGGCAGAGAGAGAAACAGAGATTCTTCGTCTGCTGGTTCACTCCCCAAACGCCTACAACAGTTGGGTCTGGGTGAGGCTGGGAGCCTAGAACTCAATCTGGGTCTCCCACATGGGTGACAAGGACTCAAACAATTGAACCATCACCCTCTGCCGCCCAGAATGCACATTAGCGGTCAGCTGGAGTGGAGAGTGGAGCTGTCACTCAAACCCAGGAACTTTCATATGGCAATGCAGGTGTCTTAACAGCTATGCCAGCCCAATAGCGGGTTCTTTTGAAGTGCAGTTTTAGATGTGACACCACTTCTCATGGGTAGCTATTGGGAGGTTAGGGTAGGCTTAAGATCTTTCTTCATTGGGTATGGCGGATCCTAAGAATCACATCTTATAATTTAAGAGAAGAATCAAATAGGGCCCAGATGCAATGTAACTGATATTGAGAAAGGCCCAGTTTCCAAGTCTAAGTTGACCCAATATCCTGGTTCATATGGATAAACCCTGGGTCCATACTTCTGGATTAACCCAAGCTAAAATATCATCTAGAGTGGTTTTAGGATCTTTAGGTGCCTCTTAGAGGAGAGCCAAGAATTCTGGCCCCTGGCTCCTTGGAACTTCCTGTTCTACTTGGTCTTGACACAGTGTCAGATCTGAGCCATGCCGTGCGGGGCAGGGGGTTGGGAGAATACCAGCAGAGTAGTAGGAAGATGGTACGTTCTTTATCAGCCAGAATGGCAGCAGCCCCAACCACAACAGCAACAGCCCAACAAACACTATGAGTTGGCTTTTGTAGGGGATTTCCACAACAGTGGCCACTAGCCAACCAGTTACCCAGGACAAAATGTATCAGCCACTGGGGTCTGTCTGGTTGTTATAGAAACAGATAACAGAATAATACATTAAATACACATTATTCAGCTGTTTACCTGTACTTTCTTATTTTATAACATTCCCACCCCTTAAACAGGTTGATTTCTTTCCAGTTGCTGGGTGGACGCATCATGGGAATGCGCCCACTGCTCCTGCAAGAAACTCAGTGCACACCTAGCAGTGTGGCACATTACGCATGAAGGCATATGAGTCTCTCTTGTGTTTAGCTGGTTAACATTATCAGCAGTTGAGGGACAGGCCACTCAGCCAACACATATGTTTCCCCTAGTACAGGTTCTTTGTCATGTCCGGGAACCTGCACCGTTACTAGGCTCAGCTAGGTAATCTTCATGGATTTCACTTGAAACTGGTATTGTATTTCTGCCCCCATGGGACAAGCAAGGCTACCCAGGGAGTGAAATTAGTTGTGATCAACCAGGGCCACAACTGATTAGCTTTTCCTCCTTTTACCAAAGGAGAGGGGGCTGGCAAAAATACAAGACCATTTAGGCCACTCTGTGGCTATAAGAGTTTATCATCACTGTTAACCTGGATGTATGTAATGGGGACATCCCTGTCTTCCTGGGTTGCTCATTTAACAAGTGAGCTTCTTGGTTCAACTGGCACATCCGCCCCTTGAGGCTAGTCTGGTCAGCTTGTGGACTGTAAGAAACATGCAGGAAAAAACAAAATAAAACAAACCACGTTGCCACAGCTAGGGGATCTTCCTCACACAACACATGACCAGGTGTAGGCAGCAACCCAAACCACTTTGGATGAGCTCTTGCACGTCCTGGTTATCCTTAAACTGCCTGGGTTGTTTTGTTGGGGGTAATATCCATTCTCCAATGTTGGGCCACATACCTCATGGTGCAGGGATCAACAGCTCCCAGTTTCCTGTGAGGCCATGTAGCCTTGTCCATGCTGGGCACCCAGAGGCTACAAAGCTGGGCTAAAGCATCAGCCTCATCATTCCCAGGGGCCAGCAGTGGACTGTGTCCATAGAAATGACATATGGTGACCTGTGTTGTGGGACCCAGGTCCCATAGATTCTTCCATATGGCTTGTGCCCATACTGGTAAATGGCCTACAAACCAGTTTTGTTGCTTCCATTGGGCCAACCATAGAGTTAACCCTCGGAACACCCAGAGCACTTTCATCAGGACTGCAGCTCCTGGGAGAGGGACTAGTATTCATAGCTACCCTCTGATCTAGATACGACTCCCATTTGGCCAGGGTGGGCATCTGAGCTACTCCCATCTTTGATGCTGTCACCCAGGACTGCAGTCAGCCAGGTACGGGATTTGTGGTTTGCACTTGAGCTTTCCTACGGGCAGTTATAGGCTCACAGGCCTGTAAAGCAGCATACACAGCTGCTAATTGCTTCTCAATAAGGGAGTTATCACAACTTGGCTCTCTTTCAAAGTTGGGACTTGAACCCAACAGGAATTTATCTGTTTCCTGCCTGGTGCCACAGTCCCCACTTAAAACCAGCATCTGTAATAGTAACATCCAGTTGGAAAGGCTTGGTGGGATCCACCACTTGTAATACCTGTGCCTGGGCCACCACGCTCTTGGTGGTCGCAAAGTCCTGCTTAGCCTCAAGAGTCCATCCCCATATTGCCCCCTTTTGGCACAATTGGTATATGGGGCAAAGTATTGGTGTTAGATAGGAAACACTTGCCATGACCCTAGGATGCCCACAAAGGCCTGTAACTGCGTCACTGTAGTGGGCCTTGGAAAAGCCCACTGCTCAGGTGACCAAAGAACTCCCAAGGACTTGACAGACAAGCCACGTCCTTGCCCCTTGCTGCCATCAAGTGCCCATCCCCATGAATGCAGGGCACACCTTCAAGTGTCAGCTGTCGTTCCTAAATCCACAAGGGAATCAGATGGTAGCATCACATCATGGATAAAACTGAACAAAGCAGCAGCGGGAAGTCTTTCCCCAGAGACCAAGTCCTTGGCTATCAGCCCATGAAAAACAGTGGGGCTGTGCGTGGGGCACACGATGCCAGCTTTCTCCAACCGGATAATGGTCTGTGCAATCTCTTCATGCCCTCCAGGCCATCAGTCACTGCTGCGAGCCATGGGTGTCTCCTGACCATGGAATTTGCAGCTCATATGTGCAGCCAACATTTACCTGTCTGCAGCCCCAGCAGGTGCCCCGGCTCAGGGCCTCACCCACCCCCACAAGCATTCTGCAGCTTTTCTTGTAGCACATTTTTACATTATCTTGGTCTTTGACTCTTTTCCCTGGTGCTGGAGCTTCTTTCCTTGTTACTTAATCAGGGCCGTCTCAGTCAAGGTCTCTGCTGTTTCCACAGCTGCCTTAGTCACCTCTTTCTATTCCTCCCCCTCCTTTTTCCAGAAGAAGGGGAGGTGGAGTGCCTGGCCTGGGGCAGAGGTCACCACAGGCAGTAAGAAAGACACCCCACAGCATCAGCTGTTGTCTGGACAACTCTCTTATTCTCCTTTGCCTCCCCAAAGGCAACCAGCAAGTCCTGTTCTTGGGTCTCAGCCTGTGGTGATCTGGCATGGATGGGAAGGCAGCTGGGAAGACCCACCCTGTGGCCCCTAGCGCTATCTGGGCATCTCCCTGCGTGGACATCTCTCTGAGCCCATGCAATGCCATTCTTACAATAGTGGGTGAATCATCAGCTCCAGCCTACCTTTTTCTTTTTAGATTAATTAACTTTTCCTCCAAAGAAACCTTTTATTAAGAGTACAAATTTCATAAATACAACTTTAGGAATATAGTGATTCTTCCTACCATACCCACCCTCCCACCCACACTCCCACCCCATAGCCTCCCTCTCCCATTCCCAGTCCCATTCTCTATTAAGATTCATTTTCAATTAACTTTGTACACGGAAGATCAACTCTATAATAAGTAAAGATTTTAACAGTTTGCACACACACACACACATACACACACAAACTGTTTGAGAACAAGTTTTACAGTTAAATCTCATAATACAACTCATTGAAGACAGAGGTCCTGCATGGGGTGTTAGTACACAGTGGCTCCCATTGTTAATTTACCAGTTAACACTCTTATTTTTTGTAAAGATTTTTTATTTATTTGAAAGTCAGAGTTACACAGAGAGGAGAGGCAGAGAGAGAGAGAGAGAGAGAGAGAGAGAGGTCTTCCATCCAGTGGTTCACTTCCCAATTGGCTGCAACGGCTGGAGCTGCGCTGATCTGAAGCCAGGAGCCAGGAGCCAGGAGCTTCTTTTGGGTCTCCCATGTGGGTGCAGAGGCCCAAGGACCTGGGCAATCCTCTACTGCTTTCCCAGGCCATAGCAGAGAGCTGGATAGGAAGTGGAGCAGCCAGGTCTCAAACCGGCGCCCATATTGGGTGCCAGCACTTCAGGCCAGGGTGTTAACCCACTGCACCACAGCGCAGGCCCCAGTTAACACTCTTAGGTATGATTTCAGTCATCACCCAAGGCTCTTGACATGAGCTGCCTAGGCTATGGAAGCCTTTTGAATCCACAAACAACTTTAGTATTCATACAAGGCCATAAGCAAAGTAGAAGTTCTCTCCTCTCCACTGGGATCTCACTCACAGAGATCCTTCATGTAGAACATTTTTTGCCACAGTGTCTTGGCTTTCCATGCCTGAAATGCTCTCATGGGCTTTTCAGCCAGACCAGGATGCCTTAAGGGTCTAGCCCACTCTTGGTGGGGGTGGCAGGCTTACAAGGCCCATAGTCACCAAGCACCAATACTTGTGGATGTTTACCCTCAAATTCCATACTGGTCTGAAAAGAATCCTGCTCATGGCACCAAAGTGTACGCCCGTACCCGTTCTTCCACACTGTGTAGTTCTCATACCTGGACATCACTGGCTAGTGCCTTTACGCTGCTGCTTCAGTGCCCTAAGGAACATCCACCCATCTGACCAGCACTGGCCCAGTGTTCCTCGGGCAGCACGTCCTCCAGGATATGCAGGGCCTTTTCCAAGGCTTGAAGACCCCATCCACCGGTTCCCACTCCTCTGGGGGTAAAGGAGGGAGGTGACCAAGTCTGCCTCCATGGATATCATCATCTAGTTGGAGGCCACATGTCCTCCAGTGGGGGACTGGGAGTACTCACCCACTATGCCAGCTGTCAGATCTCAGCTTGGCTGTGCAGGGCCCAGGGCTGGAAGGAACTGGTGGAGCGGTAGGAAGATGGGACATTCTTTATCAGCCAGCACAGGGGCAGCCCCAACCACAACAGCAGCAGCCCAACACTTTGGGAGTTGGCTTTTGTAGGGGGTTTCCACAGTAGCGGCCGCCAGTCAGCCAGTTACCCAGCAGGAAATGTATCAGCCTTTCTGGGCCCATTGAAGTGCACAAAGTGTTATCAGCCACCGGGGTCTGCCTGGTTGTCACAGAAACACAGCAGTACAGAACTTGATGCACCTTGTGCAACTGTCTACCTGGATTTTCTTACATTCCAACATGCACGGTAGCACCCAATTCAGTTAGCAGATCTCTTCCCATTCCTGGAGGACATGCAGAAAGGAGTAAATCCGAACTCCAGGACTAACTGCACAGGCCTGGAGCTCTGGAAATCTTTCTAGCTGTTTCTCCTGACACTCCTTTAATGCTACACTGCCTCTCAGAGAAAGCCCCTTTTTTGTAAGCAGTAGAGAGAATGTGTTGAGCAAGTTATCGTTGCTGAGCAATAACTTGACTTCCTCCCTTTCTTTCTCTAGGGTAACCGAGAGCTCCCCGGGGGACATTTGGGTCTATAAGGAGCCAGTCAGAGGGCTCCTTAGCTGTTAGGAAACTGGCGCAGTTGTAGCCAGGTGGCCGCATGGCCCAGCTACCTGAGCCAGGCTCCACCCCCATCCTAATGGGATTCGCTGCTCCTGCTTCCCTGCCCGCCCTCAGGCAAAGTTTTAAAAGGGCCTGTTCTGAACACGGGCTCTCTTGGCCCTTCTGTCCTGCTCTCTCTCGGTTCCCCTCTCTAGCCTCCTCCTCTGGGCTCTTGCCCCTTCTGTCCTGCTCTCTCTCGGTTCCTCTCTCTAGCCTCCTCCTCTGGTCTCTTGGCTCTTGGTCCTTCTCTCCTGCACTCTCTAGGCTTCTCTCCTCTCATCTCTCTTCTCCCTCCTCTGTCTCTCTCTCTCACAGTCTCCTTCTCCCTTTTTCCTTCGCCGCCCCTTCACTCCGGTCTGTAGGGTGTTCCCCAATAAACCCTTTCCCTTACTCCCATGTCCGGTGTGCTTTGAGACGGCTAACATTAAGATATAACATTAGCCCCATTGATCTTCTTCCCTCAGGGGGAGCTAAAAGGAAACTATTTGTCCCTGAGCCTTCCCCCTGGGGCAGCTTGGGCCCTCCCGTGCCCATGCCCATGCCCATGTCCTTGTCCTTCCAACTTGCAGAATGCACACTGTTAGGCCTTCACTTAGCTGGTGGCTTACTGTTGGTCCCACTTTGGGGGCTGGGGTTCCTCTCTCATGGTGGCTTCCTTTGTTTCCCTCAGGGTACATGGAGCAGCCTGGAGAGCAATGGCCAACAAAGCCACCTGCCTTTACATCCTCTGTCTTCTTTCTCATCTCCTGCCGTGTTGTAGGTGTTGAAAACCTTAAAGGCAGTCTCCACCAGCTGAGAGGGATTTGTCTCAGGACCAATAGCCGATTTCTGATGTCCAGAACATGCTGAGATATGAGACAGCTGGTAGAACCACCTGAGGCCGGCGCCGCGGCTCACTAGGCTAATCCTCTGCCTTGCGGCGCTGGCACACTGGGTTCTAGTCCCGGTCGGGGCGCCGGATTCTGTCCCGGTTGCCCCTCTTCCAGGCCAGCTCTCTGCTGTGGCCAGGGAGTGCAGTGGAGGATGGCCCAAGTGCTTGGACCCTGCACCCCATGGGAGACCAGGAGAAGCACCTGGCTCCCGCCATTGGATCAGCACGGTGCGCCGGCTGCAGCACGCCAGCCGTGGCGGCCATTGGAGGGTGAACCAACAGCAAAAGAAAGACCTTTCTCTCTCTCTCACTATCCACTCTGCCTGTCAAAAAAAAAAAAAAAAAGAAGCGCCTGAGTTCTCTGAGCTTCAGGGTGTCGAGATGAGACTGAGAGGCTCCCAGCCTCTCTGGGAAGGCAGAGGAATTTTCTTGTGTCTTGCTGTATTTCACTCAGCTGCCTCCAGGTAGGGGTGGTGCTGCTGCTTATTTCTTGCACGCCTGTTAGCAACATTACCCTATGATCTCTGTAGGCTCTTTGGTATTCTGAGGTCCCAATTTTGGGCCGTCACTGGGACTGATTCCTCAGCTCACCTCCACACCTGGTCACTGGGTTGATTGGCAGCTGCTCGTCAGCCTCCCTCCCGGGCCTTTATCAGCACAGCTGACATTTCTTCCACTGTCAGAACGGTAGTCATTAAGGTTTGAGGGGACCCAGGTGGGGTTGAGTTGCAATAATACCTCTTATCAGTGACAGGAGTTCTTCAGTTAGTGCTTAGGCCTTTGATGCGTGCCTTGCAATTATGCAAGTCAGAGGTGGTGAGTGGCAAATGCGCAGTTATCAACATTTCTTCCCCATCATTGCTAGTTCTGTGTTGGGTGAGTAATGCCTGTTGTGCTTTTAGGAAAGGGTGGGCCTGGTACTGGCCAAGCCATTCCCGTAGACAGAGGGCTGGCAGCCAGTCAGGGGAGCAGGATCTCAGGGCCAGGAGCTGAGGGTTCAGGCCGGGTGCTGGAGGAGGCCCTGCCCCTTTCTCTTTCTCCTTAGCCAGTCTGAAGAGATCCTCCTTCAAGCTACTTTTTTTCCCCCTATTAAGGGACTTTCAGATGGACTTCACTTTATTTCCCATTCAATTTTTCTTTTCATCCTGGGACCTCCCACTGAGATGAGGACAGTAACTCTCAAAGGGATCCCAGCAATAGTGCTCCAGTGTACTTGATGGCAAAAAGCATCCTTTGGGGGCAGGCATAGAAAACTGGCCAAGCTCACAAGCCGTTGGGGAAGGCACAAACAAGGAAGTATAAAAATCCCAGGCGTAATACCAAAAAACAGTGGAGACACAAACCAAGACTCCGTAGTGTGTATCAGGACTAAAACGTGAAATCCCCAGCGCTTAGTTCCCCAAAGCAGCTGCCTTCCTGAGAAGCAGTGTGGTGGTCCTGCTGGCCCTCTTCCATAGTTTCTTCTTTATAGGAATGGCTTGGTTGTTTGTCACCCTTCTAGTCCTTCCTGTATACTTTAGCTTATTATTTCAGAAGTTGGAGACAATTCAAGAATTATTTTTAGAACTGTACTAGTAGAGGTAGCTCTTTTCTGGCAAAACTTTAAAAATAAGTATTTGAGCTTTCTCTTTGACTTGTTCTTAAGCATGTGGCTGTTCAGGAAATACAACAGGAATCAGACAAAGAAAGAAAAGTGGACCGCCCCCTCCCCAGCACAAACCTTAAAAAGTGACTGCTCGCAGTTAACTAGTGAAACAGCGGCCCACTGAGGTCTTGTCTAGGGAGGGAAGACGTCCTAAGTTCTGCTTCTGTCAGCTCCAGTCATAAATCTGCCCCTGGAATCTCTTTTACAAACATACCAGGCCCGCCGAACATTGGAAGTGTGGTCCTAAGTCGCGTAGGCTGCAATTTAAACCCACCAATGCTGTCACAGCTGAGGTGTGATGTTGACGAACCTATAAATATTGTAAGAAATGTGGGATTGTTGCTCGGGTCTCAGGAAGTGATTCCAGGATTTGGATTCTGAACTTTTGTGTGTAGCTTTAAAGAGGCCCAGACTCCATACTGGAAAGGGTAGCTACAAGAGTTATGGATTCCCGGATCTGGATTCTAAGTCTGTGTTTGCTTAAAAGCCTCTGAAACAGACACTGTGCTGGGCAGGGGAGCTGCAGAGGTGTTCCATGGAATCAAGGAGTTTTTAACAAAAACTCCAACATTAGAAATTCCTGAGCAAGCCATTCATAAGAAGATTCTCTTCAGATCAGCTTCAGCTTAAATAAAAGGGACCTTATCCGGTACTATTGAACACAACTACTTCCATGAAATTAGGATTAAACTTCTACCTCTTAAGTCTTCATAGGTGAATGCGAAAGACATTCCTGACTGTTCCTATAAGCCAATCAGAAACCTTAGAACTCGACTTCTGGGAGTAACTGACCATGCAGGGGACACAGACCTCGGCAATGACCGAGACTGCTCCAACTCACAAAGCAAATTTATTAGGGTAGACAGAGACTTCCAGACCCTGGATAGGCACGGCCTGCACCACACCCCTCATGAACAGGAAGCAGTTACAGAAGAGAGGATTCGATGGCCATCAACTCCCCTTAGGATTAAGGGGATGGAGTCTCTGAGGGGGGAATGAATTAGGCAGGTGTACTCTAGTAGGCCAGACCTACGAGATGGACCCCTGGAACATCCAGATGCCAGTTGGTTTACTGATGGCAGCAGCTATATGAAGGAAGGAGTTAGAAAGGCAGGCTATGCGTAGTGGATCTTACTCAGAGGACAGAGGCCCAAGCACTACCACGCAATGCTTCAGCCCAAAAGACAGAGCTTATTGCTTTGACTAGGGCTTTACAACTGGGAAAAGGCCAGCGAGTTCATATATATACGGATTCCAGATATGCTTTCCTTGTGTTACATACACACGTAGCAGTCTGGAAAGAGAGGGGCTTACTGACTACAAAGAGTTCCTCTGTTAAATATGGAAAAGAGATACTGGCTCCACTTCAGGCAGTACTGGAGCCTTTAGAAGTAGCCGTCATCCACTGCAAGGGACATCAGAAGGGAGATAATTATGTTAACCAGAGAAATGTGTTAACGGATAGAGCCGCTACACAGGAGAGTTTGGAAATGGCCCTTATACGTCAGTCTGTGGAAGTGGCTAAGGAACCTCACTATACGGAGCCTGAGAATGCATGGGCCCAACAGCGAGGCTATACTAAAAACACAAATAGATGGTGGGTGCGAAATCATAGAATTATGCTACCAATGGCCACTCAATGGAAAATTATTAAGGAGATACACAACTCTACCCACTTGGGAAGAGATGCTTAGTACAATTGGTCTCCCGAGCTTTTGGAGGAAAGGGACTAAATATGGTCATAAAGGAAGTGACTTGCTCTTGGCCTCTATGTTTACAGAATAACCCTGGCCACGTAAGGCCACCTCCCCTGTTGACTCCTGTGCAGAGGAGGGGAACAGACCCAGGTGAAGATTGGCAGGTTGACTTTACCAATATGCCCCCAACAAGCAATTATGGATACCTTCGAGTCTTTATTGATATTTTTACAGGATGGATAGAGGCCTTTCCGAGCCGAACGGAAAAAGCACAAGA